TACTTATTACGTTATTATTATTACGTTACTTACTTACTTACTTACTTTACTTACTTACTTACTTACTACTACTACTACTACTACTACTACGTATAGTATAGTAGAGAGAGAGAGAGAGAGAGAGAGAGAGAGAGAGAGGGCTCATACTGAATTCACAGGGGTGGCAATGGCGTGGTGGCCAGTCAGAACATTATTAAAAATTAGGGCATGGGCCACAAAAGGTTGCCCAAGGGCCAAGCACATGCCCAACAACCACAGCCCGAGGGTAGTGTTGGGCGGTTTTTTTTTTGTTTTCTTTTTTTGTTTTTTTTTTTTTTTCAATTTTATTTGGCCTAGCTCGGCCCAACCTGATAGGGTTAGGATTGGGCTAGGGCTATCGGCTTTTTTGCCCAATCAGGGCTGGGCCAATCCTATGCCAGCCTAATGGGGGCTAGGGTCGGGCTAGGGATAGGGTTGGCGAAGCCGAAGCCCAAGCCCGGTCCACTGCCAACCCAATTCATTGTTCTATTGGTAACATAGCTTCCAGTGTTATCTGGTCGGGAATTTTTGTGTTTTTGGTGAAGACGTTAAGTCTTTGGGTTAAAACTCAAAAAGGAAAATTTATGTGGACCGGAGAACATTTTAGTATTATATAATGGGCAAGCTTTCTATGTTTCTTCTACAATATAAAACTTATATACTTCCCCTTATACAACCATCCATTCTGAGTGGAGGGTTAAGATTGCCCCGATCACAATGTCACGTCTTTAAACTATTTTATTTTTATTTTTTTTTTGACACCAAATTTTTGACATCCAATCCTCTATTAAACTCGCACTAGTGAAAATATAAAAAACATATTTCCAATAAAATAAAATTACCAAAATAGCCCTGAAAGATTCAAGGGATATTTTGGTGATTATATTTTATCGATAAACTATTTTTAATATTGTTTATAAGTACGGCCCAATGAGAAGATAGCCCGTACCAAATTTCATAATCATACAATTTTTATGAAAAAACTAAAAATAAAATACTTTGAGTGTCGGATCTAATATCAAACGGTGAGTGACTCTCTTGATCAAAATTGGATGGCTGGATGGTAGGGGATGCATAGATCTTCTATGATGTAGGGGAAGTATAGAAACCTTTCCCTTATATAATGCCCTAGATATCTCAAATTTTACATGGAGGTCCTACTTCTTTGGATTTTTTTTATTGTTTATTTTATTTTATTTGTTCCAGTTTTGCTACCAATCCAATGTTTGCACTCTTTTTATTTTAACTCTGGGTCAATATGATGTTTGACACATTAGACTACTCTAAAGTTAAGCAATCTCCAAAACATTAGATCTCTCCATACTAATCATATTCTCCTATTTTGGGGTAGTATGAGGTTTCAAACATCTTATCCTTTTTTTTTTTGGTAAAAAAAAAAAATTCCAATGTTTCAAACAAGTGAATAGGAATAGTATGGAGAGGTCCGATATTTCAGACATTGAGCTACCTAACTAGGGCAATTCTAGTTGAATCGAAGCCATCAAATGTGGGCACACCCCTTCTTCATCCTGTGGACCATCTCAAAAGTAGCCCAATCCCACATTTCCCTTATGAATCGCACTCTTGGACATTCATGAGTGACACCTGTTGGGGGTCAAACTAGCATACATTTGGCCTCATCACGACCCATACCACCTCAGTTCACAATGTTGCATCCTTGAGTGCTTCACCACCACACGCAAGGTTGAAGGCAGGGAGCCTCGAGGGCCGGTGGGATGAACGAGCTAGGCAAACCCATGAAGCATGGGTTGAGGGCTCCATGGTGTGCACCTAGGCACACGGTGCCACGATGGCCTACGCGTAGCCCAAGCAAGGCACACCCGCACAGTTTGCCTGGTGGGCACCGAGGTGTGCACCTAGGTACACGGCATCGCGAGGGCATGCTTCATCTTCACTCTAATCCTCACATTCATGGCCCTTACCACATGACCTTAAACTGTATGGAACTTTAAAATCTTGATATTCATCATGGTCACCTCAAAGAAATAAAACAAAGAAAAGAAAAGAAGAAAAAAAAAAGATGCAAAAAAAGGAGAAAGAAAAGAAAGAAAAACCGAACATAGTAAAAACCCAAAAAGACGCATGAGTAAAATAGACACAAAAGCAGACATAATATAAATGCAATAGGTAAAAGTGCTAAGATAAAATTGAAAAACTGTGAAAACCATTTTATAGTGCTTTCCCGCCTAATTTAGGTGAAAACCCATAAGGGTGCTAAAATAATCTAGTTGACGTAGAGCGTAGCTTGAAAGTTTCTCTCGCGCCATCAACCAGTGGGCTCCAAATAAATGCTGAAGCAAGCAATGATGGCCTCCGGTACTTGATCCCTTGGAGCAAAATCGTATATATAATCATTCATCTCCCATTTATGTGTATCAGCAATCGGCATGCCAAAGTTAACCTTTTCATGGCCTGATCATGAAACATGCCCCTTAAAAGGCCCTTAATGGACCAAACACCTTGTTCTATTTCCTAGGAAGTGTGTCCTTAATAGGCCCAATGGAATAGTACACGAAGATTTATATGCCTCTCCTATGGGATCAAACGTATGTCGTAAAAGGTGTCTATTGAATTGACGGTGCCGGAGAAAACCTATGTCATACAAGGTACCTGCCTATCCCTCAAGACTTGAAGT